TCTCCCTATGGCACCTCCCTTTTTCTCATACTCAAAAGGCTTTGACAATAGTTATTTCATATCTAGCCCATACTCCCACTGGCCTAGTCCATTCCACTCAAGACCTGTATCATTAATTGTATTTATACCTTCAATTTGAGATTCTAACTCACAATAGTTGGTTCAATTGATAAGGAGTCGATTCAGAACAGATAAGGCCATGAGTTCGAATCTCATTACGAATGTGAAGATCTTATTGATAGATAATCTATAAGTACCTCTGTAAGTATTTGTTAAGCCTACAGGGATGTCTTGACTTTGGTAAGCCCTCGGACCCAACTCACATAATTTTTTTTTTGTATTAAAAAAACTCCATATCCTAGATTCACCTTAAACCTGTTTCTTTTTTGGGTGAAATAAGTTCACTTTAAAAAGACATATACGTAATTCTAAAGATTTCCCCAGTATTTGCTCCATGGTACTAAACGTCTGTGTCAGCATTAAATGGGATTTATCTAAATACGTATAACATCGAAGTCACAATACTTGTGGGGAAGCCGAAGTCTTGTGCATGTGAAGGAGATGAAAAGTAAGAAAAGTAAGGCGAGGTGGGAACTAGATTTTAAGATGCTCCCTTTGGCTCATTTTTATAACATCTCAAAATTTAAATTAGTTTTTTTAAATAAAATTCTATTTAGAATTATCTGAACATTAAATCTGTTTTTATTGCTTTTGTCCCTAATTAATTTTCTGTGCTCTCTCCTTATCTTTTTCTTTTTTTTTTTTCCCTTGCCAGCTATCTTTTTCTCATATTACATATTTTTTCTTCCTCTATCTCATTATTAGTATTTCCCTCTCTTATTTACTTCCTTATTAAATGAGGACATATTAGGAAAAAAATGGGTTCAATTTTTACATATTTATTCTTTTTAATTAACTTTAACTAATTTCTCAAATTACGTAATTTAATTAAAAGAATGCTATAAAAACGACGGGAGGGAATATGTTTCTTGAGATGAAGAATTGATAGACAAGGGATTCTAAACATAGGTGATTTCAACTCGCTGTGTCTTCCACTTTTGTCTCTTGTTAGCAACCATTTAAAGCTTTCAAAAGGTGAGTGAGAATGAGATCCTGCACGTCAATCAAATTAACATTAAATGCAAATGTCACCTATGATTGCATTATCTAAAAAAAAAGAAATTAATGAATCCATGCATGAATATTTCTCAGGCTCTTCTACTGACTGCTGAAAGTATGAATGAAAATTATCGAGGTTATTTAATATTTGGCACCTATTGTTTTGAGGCTTCCTGATTACTTCAGAATACAATAACCACGCATGAAACCACTGCTATTTTCAACTGAATATATATCCGTACGTGGTGATTGCTAAATATTTCTATTAACAAATTAAGTAAAATCTACTGGTTTTCTAGTTAATTTATGTATTTAATATATAATGAAAATTTTTTCAATTTCTTTCCTCCCCCATTGAGTTACTCATTAAATTAAAAAATTTTGTGATCATCCTAAAATCTTTGTAACTACCACGCATAGTCAGCATAGAACAGAGCCCTTATGTCTCTCCCAAGGACTTGTGATCATTACAAGAAGCTAAAAATCTTTCAGTCAAGAGGAACATAACTACTGATCCCTGCTTAATGATCTTGGTTCACCTTCATAACTTGAATTCTTCTGATCAAGGATAACGTCCCATCCTTCTCTTCCTTTGCTTTCCCCTGAGCCATTTGCGATTATATTTGACGTATATATGGATCCTATAATTAACTCTTAATGCCTATATTCGCGTGAGAGAGAGAGAGAGCGTAGTTCAAGTCAGTAACTAATTAAAGACCACTTTCGTGCTTACATAATAGCAACTCAAGCATGAAAACACAAGCATCTATGCCTGGTAGATATGCATGATCAAAGAGTAGTTTAAGCCTTTAAGGGATTATTTTGCAGCAATTAGTAGGTACTACCTCCTGCACTTAATGTGTGAACTAGTTTGACATTTAATTTGGTCCTAAATATAAGACTTCAATTTATTTTATCTCTCATATTTATCTTCTTTTTTCCAAGGTAATCCTCATAATAGCTGCACATATTAAATGTTTTATTAAATAGTAGTTCTAACTAATATACATTATTAACAAGGGTATTTAGGAAAGACAACACATATTTATTATAAATAACAAGATTAATTTTCTTAATCTAATCAAATTAGTCAATTAGCTTTTTATATTAAGGACTGAGGGCTAATACCCTTTTTTTTCATGAATTAACACAATAATCACAGTCAGAATTTTCGTGTGTGTGTGTGTGTGTGTGTGTAGTAACCACAACTTACCTATTATCCCAACGTTTGATTTTGCATCTCCATATATCAATGGTCCAGCACCGTATATATTTTCAGCCAAGAGTTTCAATTCCTTATTTCAATACATCATAAAAACAAACATTGATTTTAATTAGTATCTCGTCATGGTACAAGAATTCATATGAAATTAAAGATTATGATAACAGCAAGATTAGATCAGGGGCTTACAAAAATCACCCATCTTATAAACCAAGACCATACTTTAATTTCAGCTCCTTTAATTCCCCTGCGATGGATCAAAAACCGAAATACTCATTAAACGATAAATCATACAGATGCAGACAAATCAATATGAAAGATATTAAACCAAGACCATACTCTTTGAACTCAAACTCCAGAGATTATTCGACTCTTACTTTTTCAAATGTACCAAGTCAATTTAGAAATGAAATTAAATGTGAAATAGGTTATTAATTTAACTGGGTGGGTAAGGATTTAGGTTAATGGGTCAAGGTTTTGGGTCATTCAAAAACAAAGCCCAATTAACATTTAAAAACGAAGAAGTATTTTCTAGACAAGTGGGTCCTGCATGACGTCCGTGCCGTGAAATAAATCATAATGATGCCAAATTGCCAAATGCCAATGACAAAAGTTGAGGACAGGATAGTGACAGATAATACATGGTAACGATTTTAATTTTTCCCCCAAAAAATTGGTGAAAAATCCCTTTTTAAAAATTTTGTTGGCCAAAATAATCTAAATACTAATATTATAAAGGATTCATAGAAAACACCTATATTCAAATTTAGGTCATTCTGATCAATAAAATTTTTAAACACAGACTTTTTCTTGATCTTTTCTTTTGCTGTTTTGCTCAACAAATAAAAACGTAAAGTTCAAAAAGAAAAAAAGACGAGTGCCGTAACCTACAACCTTCTACCTGTCATTCTTCACCTCTTCTTCCTTTTAATGAAGCCCTGCAATATTATATGCATAGAAAGAAATATTAAAACTTTTTTCAGAGTAAACACATGCAAATGTATACATACGACAATCCCAATTTAGGGGAAAAAAATTACAAACCTGCCTTCTTACCAATGCTTTAACATTATCGAGTGAGACTTAGTGTAGTTCCTTCATCGCATACCAGATAGATTAAAGTCTTCTTCACAATATGCTTCTGGGCAAAATTGACTATAATTTCCACCTCATTATGAGGCTCTAGATTAAGTATTATTTTGTGCCAGTCATCATCAGCAGAAGTCGCTGCATCATCTCTCTTGTAAAAGTCAATAGTACCCCTTGTGAAATTCTTTATCATGAGGCCAACAGGACATACGGATGCCATGCTATCTTGAGAAGACGAATAGATAATATAGATTACCATTCCTATCAAAGCAACCAACAACTCGAGGCATTTTAAATGATGCAGAAGATCCTTCACTCTCAAAACATAGCCAATCAGGATAATTATCTTGAGGAAGCTGAGAATAGTTAAACCTTCCGTCACTCCATCCCTAATCTATGAACCAAGAAAAGAATTGAGAACAGAGGAAATATAGTAGTATAATGCTCACACTAATGAAAATCGTCATGCTGATTTAATTGAAAATACATTCATGATGGTTTCTAAAGAAATTACCTGTGAAATACTCTTTAAAAGTGCATCCATAACCTTGTTGAATCCACCTAAATGGATAGTTAAAGAACTCATGAATGTCTCTAACCTTTCCATGTGAGATTTCTCTTGAAAAACAATTAACCCTTCAGTTCCACATGAATCTTGAGATGTGCTGGGTCTTGCTTCTAATACTACACGGCTTCTGGAAAATAAAGGATGTGATAGGCCCTTGATTAAAGATGGCATGATCGTAAATGCTCGTAGGAGGGACTTCGAATGAACTGTCGGTGACATCCAAGACATAACAATCGATGGAAGTACATCGCGCGATAATCCTTCGAAGCCACATAGTGACACAAATTTAATACTTTTCATTCTCACTAATGAGGAGGGAACTTGTGTAATAGAAGTTTGATTTGCCACCAAAGTTGTCAAGGATTCCATTTGCCCAATGTCTTCTTTCACCTTTTCAATCTTTGAACAACCAGAAAGATTGAGAGTTTTCAAAGATTTTAAGTTATATATACCTCTTGGGAGATGATTAAGGTCTTTGCAGTCCTTTAAATTTAACAGAACAATATATTTAAGATCTCCAATGGAGGGGTGAATCGAAGACACAAGCAGACAATCTTTGAGTATTAGCTTTTCAAGATATGGTAACTTCGAAAAATCAGGTGGCTTTGTCAAATGATGACAATGACTCAAATTGAGAATTTTCAACCACTCTAGCCTCTGCACCAAGAGAACATTTTAAAACAAATAGACATAATGAATGGAAAGAATAAAATATATGGAAACAAATTAACATGACAATTGCTGCTAGTGTTTAATTTGAAAATTTCATTGTAAATACCTGGCTTTTCTCCCATACTTTTGTGAGATTACTCCACTTTAAGTTTATGGCAACTATCTTTTCGAGACTTAAATTTGTTGGCAAGTTTTCTAAGGGAAATCCATGCCAGCACAGCCATCTTAAGTCCTTTGATAGATAACCAAAGTCTCCAGTAAGTTGTACATGATCAAGTTGGAGCAAACGAAGCTTCTTCATGTTCTCAAATGCTTGGGCACTCAATGATCCTAATTGTTTGCTGACATGTTTAAAGCCAATCCCTTAATCGCTATTGTTCCCTATTAAAGTAGAAATAACGGGAAATAAAAATAAATGATATTTCAGTTACCGAAACATAACATATACAATAAACAAGCAATATGATAAATGTTTGAACACGCAATAGTTAACTAAAAAATGGAACTGCAAAACGATAATGAAAAAACAACATAAATTAAACAATACAAGTCATTGAGAGACATTCTCACCGTGCAATTTCTTAGCACATCTAGCACATCATCATGAGACCATAATCTGCTCCGCTTCTCAGGATCCTCTGGTGAGTGCTCACGAATGATATGTCTTCCCATATCACGTAGTAAGTCATGCATATCAAGCTTATTTTTCTTGCCAACTTTTATGAGGCTCCTCTCTACCAGACGAATAATTCCAATATCAGCATTAAGTCCACAACCATTTAATATTTGTGTAGCATAACTTTTGTCCTTCCCAATAAAAAAACAACATACATCAAGAAATATATCTTTCTCTGTTTGGTCACTCAAACCCTCATAACTTATTTTTAGCTTTTCATGTATTTTATCATTTGGAATTTGTTGTAGTTTCTCTAGAACACTGTCCCATATCAATGCTTCCCTATCAAATAAATAGGAGCCAAGAACTTCAAGAGCTAGCGGTAAACCTCCTGAGTAAGAAACTATCCTCCTTGAAAATTCAACACAATCTCTTTTAGGGAATCGTTGCTTAAACGCATGCCAACTAAAAAGCTCAAGAGATTCACTATCATTCATTTCTTTCATGTTGTATATCTTATGATCTTCCACTCCAAGGATCTTGAGTAGCCGTTCATCTCTAGTAGTGATGAGTATTCTACTACCTCGACCAAACCATTCATGATTTCCGCATAAAGCTTTCAACTGATCATCATTATTTACATCATCAAGAACAATAAGTACTCTTTTCTTACAAAGCATTTTCTTGATTAGAGTTGTCCCCATTTCTATACTTGTGAGCTTCACTCTTCTTGCATTAAAGATGCTTGAAAGAATTTGTTTTTGAAGATAAACTTGACCATTATCTTGCTTCTACACTTCCCTCACATTTGAGAGGAAAAACTTTCCTTCAAATGTTTGACCAATTTCGTTGAAGATCGCTTTAGCAATAGTGGTCTTGCCAATCCCACCCATCCCCCATATCCCTGCTATGATAACCTCATTTGATTTATTAATCAGCAGCTTGATGATATCTTGCACACGAGGCTCCACTCCCACTGGGTGATGAGCAACAAACAAATCTTTGTTGTCTAGCTTCATTGTTATAGTTTCAACCACATCGTCAATCAACTCCGTTTCAGTTCTGGCAAAAACAAGTTACATTTATATCAGGATCAATCTTGGCGTTTAATTATTAAGCTTGGAGACTAACAATTCTCAATTTCCTCTTAACATAGATGTTAGCTAAAATTTGTTTAAAGGTATTTGTTATGCATGACCTAAATTCAAACCCTTCTTTTGACGCATCTTCTGTAAGAAAATTACAAAAACCTTTCTTTTTAAGATTCATTCAGTGCTCATTGTGTGATTTGTAAGAGTAAGCAGCTTGATTACAACCAAGTATTTTCTTTTCCCAATGACATTGTTTTCATATATAGAAGCGCAGATCACCAATAGGAAATTAAGGAATTTAACGATGTCACATAGTAACAAGCAAAAGATAATCAAACTTGTTGACTGAAAAAGAATGGTAATCAGATTTACCTCCATTCATGCATGTCCCACCCAGATATATTCGCAGCTTCAATGAGTGCTCTCTTCCAATTGATCATCGATTTCTTCACTTTGCTAGTTGAGTTTCTTAGTGTGAGTCTTTTCCATGCTTCTACAAAAATATTTTGTAGTTTACGAACTTCAGATGGTTGCAAATCATAAAATATTGGTAAGACCTCTTGATGAGTTGTTTTGTGACACTCCATGATTTTCTCTAATTGTTGTAAACACCAACTAGAACCAGCATAATTTTTTGGTGAAAAGAACCAGCATAATTTTTCGAGAATATAATTATCGACATTCTTGAACTTTCAATTGCTTGCAGTAAAGAGGAAGAAATGGCTTCACCCCTTCTAATCCCCTCTTCATCCATGAAGACCTCAATAGCTGCTTTCTTTAAAGCAGTGCAAAGATGAGTAGTAAAAGATTTACGTGTATCTTCACCTCTAAAACTCAGGAATACATCATAGGTATATTCATGCTTTATCTTTTTAGGACTTATTTCTCTTCCTATCTCTCGCAACAAATGATGAACATCAAGCTTATCACTCATATCAACTTTTACAAGTCCCTGCTCTGTAATCTCATGCATTGCCTTTTCTACAGGAAATTTTGAGCCCTTTAACAATTGTGTAACATCATGTTTATTTAGACCCACATAAAAGGAAGCTATATTATAGAATAAATCTTTCTCTGAATCGGTTAAAAAATTCAAGCTTATCTTGAGCTTCTCTTGTATTTGACCACGAGGAATTCCTCTCAATTTCTTCAACACATTATTCCACTCTTTTTTTGTCCTATTAAGCAAAAGAGAGCCAATAACTTCAAGAGCTAACGATAGTCCTTCACAAAAATTTATTGCTTTCCCTGATAGAGACATGAAATCATCTGTTGGACTAGATTTCTTAAATGCATGCCAGCTGAAAAGCTCAAGAGACTCACTCTCATCCAGCGCCTTCATTTCATAAAAGTAGAGTCCGAGGCCAAGAATTAGATCCTTACTTGTTGACGTAACAAGTACTAAACTCCTTTTGCCGAAGCACAGATCCCTACTTCCACATAATGCTATGAGTTGGTCTATATGATTCACATCATCAAACACTACCAGCACACTTTTATTGGACAGTGCCTCCTTCATTTGACTGGCTCCCATCTTAACATCATGAAGCATATCAAGTTCTGTATCGAAAACAACTGAAATAAGTTGCTGTCGTAGATGAACTAGACCTTATCTTTTTGCCATTCATCATTGATATTTGCAAGGAAACCTTTTCTCTCAAACCTGCCACAAATTCTATCGTAAATAGCTCTGGCAAAAGTAGTTTTACCAATACCTGGAACCCCCCATATTCCGATGGAATAAGTCCCATCCATCAACAGACGAAGTACATCTTTCACACTACGGAGTAGTAACCCCGCTGGATGGGGCGGAAGATTGCAAAACAAGTATTTACATAATGCCCCCGTAAGTGTACTCATATCTTCCCTGGACAAAAACATTTCACAATCAGTTAAAAAATTACGTAAGCGCATGTGTAGGTATCTGCTGGAATGTACCCAGTTCAGTCCAAGCCCAATGTAGGTGGGGCTTATATGCTACTAAAGAAAAGCACATGGGTGGAAAGAGGAAGTTTTACCCTATTGATTTAAAATTTAAATTGTAATAATTTCTCATACGTGAGTCATGTGTTTATGTAAATTGAGAGAGTCAGTTTTGCACACGGGTGATTTTGAGTAACTTCTCCTGAGCACTCCCCTCTTCTCTCTTTCTCATCCTCATTGGTGAATTTGCTGTATAGTATAATGGACTCTGTGTGATTTCATTTGCGTATAGAATTTGATTAACGAAGTTTACTCTTTCACTTAACATATTAAGTTTAATGATAGTTCAGTTCTACGTAATTAGTTTCAAAATGACCCATCAATGCTTTAAGATGAACTTTAAATTCCACAGAAGCAGAAATTTTTTCTAATTAGGAACTAATAATTAAGGACTTTGAGTACAGTTACTTATATCAACTTTTCACATGATCCAAATGGAGGAGTCTTCCACTAGGCTCTGCAGTTAGTTGCAGGTAAACCTTTTCGGAGGAGTTTTTCCGAAGTTAATCTGCATGATGTTTCTTTTCAATTTTATATAAATTCCACGTGACACGGAATCTTTTTTTTTTTTTTTTTGGGACGTTGGATGACTGAATTAGTGTTGGGCAGACACATATTGTTTAAAAAAGTGAAAAGAGCAGGGAGTCAAAAATTTAGGGATCAAGGCATATCGGGTCATAATTAAAGAATCGGGTTATAAGTGAATTAAAAATTGAAGAACTAAAAAGTAAATTTTTTTCCCATATACATAATATATTAGGCTTTTTATAAAAAAATCCGAAGTGACTCACGTTGCTATAGTTTTTTTTTTTTTTTTAAGGTGATACTCACGTTGCTTTACTTGGCCATTAGCTCGTTCTCTTCATCAATTTTTTCATGTTTTCCTTATATTGTTCATTTACGTTATTTGAATATTCAACTTTTTTTAATATTTATACTTCTACTTATTTGTCTTTTTAATTTAGTTCTAATAACCTTCGTAAAAGTGCCTAATGTTTTGCTCCTCCTCCTCCTCCTTTCTCCTTGATCTTTGCTGATTTATTTTGCTTAAGCCTTGGACTATTCTTCTAATGTAAGCACAAATCTTCAATCTTTACACTTCTAATTATTTATTTATATTTTTTTGTTTCAAACTTTATACTTGTAATTTAGCTTTAATAAGTCCCTTAACGTGGACAATACTTGACTCCCAATATTTTATCATTTTTCATTTATCACTGCATTTAAAAGTGAGTCATCTTGATATCGTTTATGATAAATTCAAGACTTATTTAAAAGAGGGAAAAAATGACAGAAAAATACTTATTGAATTTTGAAATGATAAATAGGTGATTTTTGACAGATTTTGACTTGTCAGAATCATTATAAAAGTAGTCAAAAATATTAGAAAAGTAGTTAGCATGATTTGTTTATCTTTTTAAAATTCAATAAATATTTTTCTATCATTTTTTCTTAAAAGAAATTAAGTAATCAAAGGTTTGGTTGATAGTGCTTCATTTTTTATGAATTCTAGACCCAAACAAAGAAAATAAAAAGTTATGAGAGCACCTTTACCTCAGCAAAGGAAGCTTTACCGCAACGAAGTTTAAATTTTAGCAAAACACTGTGCTTTGAATTTACAGCATATTAGGGCTAGGGCAGAGAGGGAATTCGACATTCAACCTAGGAACAGAGAGAACGACCTGGAGCAGTGCCTTGAGAGCTGTATAGTGCTAGGGCTTGGGAATCTTGAAGGTTTTGGAGATTGGGATTAAATGATTGAAGAGATTTGGTCCTCTTTCTTAATTTTTTCTAAACTTCTCTTCATTTTTCTCTCATTTTCTGATATGGACATGGAAGTTATAGATATTTCTTGCTCTTTTCTTATTATGAGCACCTAAACCTTTTGTTTTAGGATTACTTGAGCCATGGTATGGGTTGAAACTCATTTTATGATCTTCTCTTAGTGTTAATGGTATCTATGTGCTGGTTTTGCCTTGAATCTAATACTTCTAAGTGCTCGATCACCATTTAGATAGATTTGCTCAATTAATTGATGTTTGAGAAAGCTACTTTGATTGTAGAATTTGGGTAAAATCATGCTAGACCTAAAATATATGGATTAAATAGATAGTATGTTAGTAGAATAGAGATATATCTATTAAGCTAACATTGTTAAATACATTTGATTGGCATATATTACCTTTTTTTTTTTTTTGGTGAAAGAAAGAGGCCTAAGGCCCAAAGGAACAAAAACACCTAGCCTTCATCAATCCCGTGAGTCGAAGTCAGCATATTTCCTTTGTCTTTCTCGAACTGAACACGCAACCACTCTGGAACTTCTTCCCAGATTCTGCCTACATTGTCAGATTTCAAACCCCATTTCGCCAAAACATCAGCACAAACGTTCAGATCTCTCCCAATCTTGCAGATCCTCACAGTCCAGTCACGTTCCAAAAGCTCCAATATTCCTCTTTGGACCCCATCAACGAAACCAGCAGTTTCTTCGCCCTTCAATCGCTTAGCCAGAATTTCAGAGTCAGTTTCCATGATGATCTTAAGAAAGCCTCTATTCCAAGCCAAGGTAAGCCCTTTCAAAATCCCCCAGCTTTCTGCTTCTATCACGCCACAAAAGCCAAGTCTTGGGCAAAACCACAAATCCACTCACCTTCCTCTTTTCGCAGGACACCTCCACAACTCGCGAAGCTCGGATCACCACAACAAGCACCGTCCAAATTGATCTTAATCCACCCCAGATCCGGAGCAGACCACGACTTTTGAACATTACCATTTTATCACTAACTAAGGGGAATTTATTGAGTTTCAAGAAGTGCATTGGTGAAAAGTAATCCTAGGTTCCACTTGTCTTGAAAACAAGCTTTCACTTTAATTCTCTCCACAATATTTTAATTTTAAATCAATTGATTTTTCTTGGATACAAAGCTTTCCAATTTCATTTATCTATAAACCTTACAATAATTTTTTAAATTTTCAGCAACTACTAACGATTTTTTTAAAAATTTTCTTGTTAATTAGTACTCCTCTGATCCTTAATATAAGATCCAATTATTGAGTTGGTTTTGATCCTAAATATAAGACCCATTTTTCATATTTATCAATTTTTTCCAAATTACTCCTATGGATACTCTCTTAACCATAATCAAGTAAAAGAAGAAGATAGAGTATTAAGAAAGATGATTATGGTATTTTAGGAAAAACATGTCACATTTCTTATAATTAACTAACTTACCTAATTTCCTTAATCTAATCAAATTAGTTAAATGAGTCTTATATTAAGGACAGAAGGAGTATTATGCACTAATAAAATGATATTTCATTAAAAAAAAAGTATTTATTCTCATTTTACAAATTTAGTCTTGTCAAATAATGTTTCATAAAATGTCACTTATAACGTAATATGTAAGATATAAAATCTAAAACGCATTAAATTAATCGTTATTAGTTCAAGTCGAGCTAGTTTTTCAATCCTTGGGATTAATGGAAAATGACATTGACTATTAACTCTAGATTAACTTTGGGTTAAAAACCATTTTTGCACTTGAAGTATTAATGGAATACTTGGTAGTTGGTACCTTACTTCTTTTCATCAAAACAAGGCATCGTGTTTAAGGTGTCACATGTTTTGCCGACTAGGTATTTAACGTTAGGGGAAAAACAAAAGATCCATCAATTGGGATTAATAATCAATTAAAAATGTTGAGTCACAAGTTATATTTCTTCTTCTCCTTAATATAAAAACTCGTTTGATTTTTATTTTACTCCCAAATATAAAGCCTCAATGTATTTTGTTTTTTATATTTATCCATCTTTCTAAATTAGTCTTTATAATAATAGTAGTTCTAGTCAATATATTTGATTAGTAAGGATATTTTAACAAAAATAATACTTATTTATTACAAATAATTAATTTAATCAGTTTTTTTAATCTACTCAAATTAGTCAATGAAAATTTTTTACTAATAAATACCTAGTTCACTCAAAAAAAAAAAAAAACAGTGAATACCTATTTGACAGGTCATTTAAATACCCAAGCCTAGTGCTTCCTTTGTACTAGTGTTTGATGATTGTGTCACACACAGACTTTCTAGAGTTTTTGGCTCAAGTGACACTCCCTCAACCCATACTTACTACATATTTGCATGAACGAGATTTTTCGCTCCATATAATAAAGCGGCAAAAGCGCTGGTCAAAAAAAAAAAAGCGGCAAAAGCGGGAGTATGTGGGTCTCACCCCTATGAAGTTAAATTGTCTAAATTAAAAAAAAGTTGCAAACAAAGCTCTGGATTTTTTTTTTGGGTCACAAAAAGACAATAGGTACACCTATTAAAACCATCGCGAAAATCGGCAAGACATGAACCATCTAAAAATTAACTAATGTGAGTGTAAGACCTAATAAGGATTAAGCATCTTAACATTCTAAGCCTAGGATTAATTTTTTAAAAAAATTAATAAACAAAATAGGTATTAAGCAATATTAACCCTCTGAAGAGTATATTTTGGCATCAGAGGTATCGTCTTTCCAGGATGATACCCAAAAGATGCCTCTACAAG